GATCAAACTCAGGCCTTAGAGGTGATAGTGCTGAGACTTAACCTAGACCACCAGGGAGGCCCCAAGATTTTTTTTTTTAAGTGAAAAGGGACAAAAAGAAAGATCACTGCATTCCTGTAGAGATCTGAGAAGGAAGTAATGAGGAGTTAAACAAAACCTTTATGGAGGGGCAGGAGAGGGAGATACAAATACAGAGGGTGGTGGAGACAGGACTTCAGAGCACAGATTCCATGCAGGTGGGAAGCACCAGGCAGGGAGAGCAGAAGAAAGTGTGTCTTCTCACTGACACTGAGATATACCAAAATGTCACCATCTAAACCTATATTGATTACCGATCTAGGTATCATTTTATTTTAAATCTCTCATTTTTATTTATTAATTTTTTTACATCATTGTTCATTTTTAAACAATATTTCCTTCCCCCCATCCCCTCAGGTGTAGTCCCCATAGAGTTTCCTTCCCCAATGCACCCGTGCACCATCACCTCAGTCCCCTGTGCTCCTCCCTCCTTCCCTCTGATCCCTCTCCCGCCTCCTCCCCTGCAGGATGTCTCTGATTTATAATTGTCTGTTTTTGCTTTGTTGTGTTTTGTACTGTTATTATTTTTTTTTTACACTGATGTCTTATTTGGTTTCTCCTATATCCCTGCTATAAGTGAAACCACCCACTATTTTTCTTTTTCCTTCTGGCTTATTTCACTAAGCATAATTCCTTCTAGTTCCATCCACATCGAGATACCACCTTACACCAGTGAGAATGGCACATATCAAAAAAAACAGCAACAACAAAAGTTGGTGAGGATGTGGTGAAAAAAGAACTCTCCTACATTGCCAGTGGGAGTGCAAACTGGTCCAATCACTATGGAAAGCTGTCTGGAGGTTCCTCAGTCTACTAAAAATGGAGCTACCATACAACCTGGCAATTCCACTCCTAGAGAACACCTGTACACCTATGTTTATTGCAGCACTATTTACAATTGGTAAAACCTGGAAACAACACAAATGCCCAAATATAGATGCCTGGATCAAGAAGATGTGGTATATACACAATGGAATATTATTCAGCGATCAAAACAGATAAATTCATGCCATTTGTAGGTATCATTATTTTTTTAGACTATCGCACATGTCTTCAGAGCTTACAAAAAGTAACTTTCCTGATAAATCCTAAAGTTTGGGTCAGAACAGGAAATGCTCATAAACATCTTACAACTTAGAAATAAAAGATACTGGTGCGGGGCCAGGGAGCAAGGGAAGGGCACCATGCCTGGTACAGGAATCTGTGTTCATGCATCACACAGGCTGCACAGACACACCATATGACTAATGATCTGTTTTCTTTAAATGAAAACCCTTGCTTTGAACTGAGATTCCTACCTAATGCCACCCAAATGAGTGCTGGACATTGACCCCATCGGATGTACCAGGGTCAAGATAACCTGGAAGCTGATAACAGGTTCTGGGGGGATGAAGGTGCAAATACTAGAAACATTAGCTTGTGAGGGCTGTAATGATGGGCTGTTTGCTTATGACTGTCTTTATTTAACTCAACATGAAAAGGCCAGCTCGAGATGAGATAGCAGAACGGACTCTTCAGGGTGCTATGCCCACCATTCTCTCAGATCAATAGCCACAATGCTGAAAAATAAAAGCACTTACAGAGTCAATTCCTGTCTCTGCTTATTGGCTTTGGTAGTGACAGGCAGCAGAACCCAGGCCTATTCCAGTAACAATATCATTCCACGAACAGTTTCAGTGACTATTTTCAGACCCCAAAGCTTTGCTGTCCTGCCAGGAAGAACGGAGGTGGCCAGGTGAGGCAGAGGCATGCTGTTGAAGGGGCGAGTCTAAGTGGGAACCCCCTGGCAGTCCCCAGTGCTGCAAGTCTCGGTTTCTCAGGATTTTGCACAGCACACTTCTGTGCTCCCTGTGGGCCCACTGGTGCTTCCCCTGGTACATTTGCTAAAAATGCTGAGGGAGGAGAAGGAAAAGGGGGACAAAAGAGTAAAAGGAGAGGGAAGGAGGACCAGAAAAAGCAGGAAGAAAGGGAGGTAAAGGGGAGACGGCCTTAAAATGTAAAATGAATATACATGGCAGCTAAGACCTTGTATTCTTCTTTTATCGTATTTCTTTGCTTTTCCTTTGCTGATTTAGTCCAAAATAAAGTCCTTCTTTATTTTTCTGACCCCTTCCTTTATTTCTTCCCCTCCCTTCCTGAGCCCTTCAGTCCTAAACCCTTCAGGGGAAGCAAAAGAAAATTAAGAGTCAGTGCAGGGCAAGGAAGGTAGGGGGCTCGGAGGGCTGAGTCCCACATGGAGCAGAAGGGCTGGCTGGAGCAAGAGCCTAAGCTGAGGAGCATGTCAGGGCAGGGGACAGCCTGAGACCATTCATGTGTGAAAAACAGAAAACACAGACCCGAAATGTGCCCCCCGTGTGGGGTAGAAGGGCTGCTGGACTTAATATCGATTGCAGCATCAATGTCTCCCCAAAGTGTCACCCAAAACTAATCAAGCTGGAGTTTGCTGGGCACACCAGTGAGGGTGCCTCATGAGAGGCCCGCGCCTGCCCCTGAGGGAAGGTGGCTTTCCCTGAAACCATTTTTTTTTTAGATTTATTTACTTATGCATACAAGAACTGGGGTGTAGGCCAGAGGTGTGTGGGGTGAGAGGATTCACCAGAGGCAGTGGGGAACAGAAAAGGCAGATCAACTGAAACATACTGCTGAGGGGAGTTGCGTTGAGACAGCAGAGGTCTGCTGCGCCATGTGGGTCATTTTCCTGGTGGCTGCGGATAGCTTCATAGTGCTGTGACTTAACCCCTTGTGCTACCAGGGAGGCACCCCCCCACCCCCCCTTTTTTTTTTGCTAGTAACCTTGTCCCATCTTCTTTCTGCATAAATTTTCTCCATTTGAGGCAAGCTCTGCAGTACCTAGAGCATGCTGCCCCTTTCGTGAATTATCCCAATAAGCCAGAAAGAGCCCCACAATTGTGAATCTGGTTTATGAACAGTAAGAATGATAGACCCAGTTTAGAAGGTCAGAGGGAAGCAGGCAGAGTGGACACACTTAGCGCAGTGGCCTGACCCGGGCTGCTGGAGCACAGGGGGCAGGCACCCAGGACAGCAGCTTCTGAGGTGTGGACTTGTGGGGTTCTCACACCCAAGTGGGCTGGGAGTGGGTATGTGTAGAGAAGGGATCCAGGTGTGAAAGCACTGAAATTATTTATTTAAAGAAAACCAGCAGCCCCACAAACTGAGTTGCTTAATCCAGAAATACTGTGTCTCCTCATTGATAAAAATCTGTTATATTCCTGAATACAATTTTATTCTCGCGTGTTTCTTGTCAAGTTTTCTAAGTATTTAATGTTTTTCTTGCTGCTGTATCTTTTTTCACATTGTATTTGCTATTCTTCAGTTTATAAAAAATCTATGAAGTTTAATGTTTGCTTATAATTAATAATCTAAATGAATTCTATTACTTACTTAGTTCTAATAATTTTCAACTGGAATCCCATGGGCTATAACTGTTTTTCAACTTCTTCAAGTTAAATTTGGGCTGTCCAAGCTATGGAAACAACCTAAGTGCCCAAAGACAGCTGAGTACATCAGGAAGATGTGGTAAATACACAGAGTGGAACACTACTCAGCAATCAAAAAAGATAAATTCTTGCCATTGCTGCAAGTTGGAGGGAACCACAGGAGACAATGCTAAGTGAAATAAGTGAGAAGGTGAAAGACAATACCTGATGGTACAACTTATATGTGAAATACAGAGAAATAAAACAAAAGTCAAACTATTAACAAACTCTAAAAATCTGACTGAAAAACTGAGGCTACCAGAGGAGGTTTAGGAGGGGGCAGAACAAAGTAGGGAAGGAGGACAATGGGCTGTGGGGGAGGACTATGGGCTATGGGTGTAGTAGGGTTACAACACCTGAAGGGGAGAGTCTACACTTCTTAATCACACACAGTGTTATAAATCAATATCAGCTCAACAACAAAAAAAAATTTGACTGTCATTATATTTGGGTAATATAAAATCATTTAGGTTAAAGTGCAGATGGGGGAAAACTACAAAAAGTTTAAACAGTCATTAATTAATTAAACTACTAAATTATTTATCAAACATTTACTGAGCACATAATACAACCTGAGTCAAGTTATCTAGTCTAGATACTTATATTTCCTCCACAGTAAAATGTAAATAATCAAAGAACCTAAGGATTAAATGAGATAACGCATGTGAAATGCTTTGCAATGCATACAGTAAGTGATTAATAAATGACAATGATGATGATGATGACAAAGATAATCCAACACTCTACTCTACACCCCTGCAATGCTTCAGAGCTTCTGCTAGTTGAGACAAAGGTAAAGCTCCTCTGTTTGTTCTTTAAGTCCAACCAAACCTGTATGTCTTCATCCCTCCTCCCCTCTGCCATCTGTAGGAGAGCCCTAAATAACTTCATCCCCCAAGAAGAAGAGGATGCAATGGTAAAAACTCTCTAGACTCTACTAAGTCATCTTCAGCTGTAACCCCGCTGTTATCCATTTCATTCGTAACTCCTGAAGTCTTCTAGGTAGAAGAGATTCTCAAGAAACACCAACAGGCTTCAAATTGGAAAACTGGAAAGCAAACCAAACCCTCAAAAAACTCTAGTGCTAGATGAAGGCACTAGGTCAGGCTACTTTTGCAAACAAGTCCACAATGAGATCTGAGAGAACAAACTTAAACACAGTCTGTGAAACCTTACTGGACTAAAGGAGACATTCAGGAGACATTCAGTTTAGACATGATTACAATTAATAAATTTTGAAATATTTTGAAATAAGTATAATGATTATACCTCCCTCCCAAAAAACAAGTGATGCTCAGAAGAAGCTGCACCTGCTTCTTCATTAAGATGAGACATAGAAAGCCACTTACCATAGTAAGCTCACTCATAGTTAAAAGCCCATTTTTTGACATGTAAAATCAGGTAAAAGACAACACTCTGACTTACCCACTTCAGCCAGAGTTCTGATACAGGACTCCACGGAGGCTTTCTGGGCTGGGTTTGGCCAGGTGCAGTTGTAGATTCTGAAGGCAGACTGCAACAGCTGGATAAAAACTGGCTGGTGTGTCTGCAAACAAAACAGAAGTGGCAAGTAGGCCACTGAGGCATCAGCACTCCTAGTCCGGTCTGTGCGTTATCAAAACGCTCCTGGGGTGACATCAGTGCATTTTCAAAGACTCGTCAAAATGCAACACAATCCAGTGTTTTGAGTTTCAGGGTATGTGTCACTCAACAAATATTCATCACCTGCCCACTTCATGAAGAAGCACCATCCCAGACACCATAGAAAGTCAATGGTTTGCATTTTAACTATGTTCTTAATCACAAATATGGCATTTCTTGAAGTCAGTGACGTGCATTTTTTTTTTTTAATAATCTCTGGTATATTCCCAAGTATAAATAGGGCAGGTACTGTGAGTTTGTTTGACTGATTGCATGTTTTGGTTTCATATAATGAGTAATAGAGACAATTCTTACCTTGTAAAACAATTTCATATAGTCCTATCTAGTAGTTTAACATTTTCCCTGAAGTATATTGAAGTGATATTTTTATAAGCTCAATCCACAATCAAGTAGAATATGTGGGAACCACAGAATCTCTACCCTATCAGGTAGAGATATTCGATACCAACATTTTGAAGATAATTCTGAGTTTTTCTACATATATCTTCTTTACACACACAAATTTTTTGGATATAAGAAATTCTGTAGCCTGGTTCACTTTATATTACTCATGATCATTTTCCTTAGTCTTAATTTATTTTTTTCAAACCTGCTTTGTCATTGGCACATAATAACTCAGCTACAGATATACAGTAATTCCTACTGTGAACACTTAAGGTTGGTGCCAAGTTTTGAGCTAAGCACTACTGATACTTAAAGGAAAATCTTAGTATATAAATCCCTGCTAATTCTTTCAGGATAAATCACTAAGGAGAAATTATTGAGTCCAAATGTCTAACCATTTAAAGAATCCTATCGTTTATCTTGACACTGACAGTTGAACTGCAGCTATGAATGCTCTTGTTAGGCTCGGAGGGAGCACAGGGATAATCCCATTTGAAGATGAGCCTCTTTCTTTAAAATAACATTTGAGAAACTCGCAAAGCAGAGAAGAGGGATCTTAGATGTGCAGGAAATGATGCCAGAGGAGATGAGACCTTTCTCCCCGCCACGGGAGGTGCATACCCCACACAGAAAGCCCCCACTGGAGCTACCTGGAGGCTGGTGCTGTTGTCTGAGAAGGGGGAGTTGAAGAAGCCGCTGACAATGCTCATGACCGACTCGGTGACACACTTCTCCAGGGAGGTGTCGGCGTGCTTCCTGTCTGTGGTCGTGTTGCACACCTGGAGAGAAGTGATATGGTTATGTCTATCCCCACCTTCAAACTGTGACTGCCTAATGGAACCTTCCAAAATGATCCCAAGTGGTTGTTTACAAACCTGTCTTCTGCATTTTAAAGGTGCTCTGAATAGAAACATTTCAACCTAACACCCATTCAAATTGTATCTCTCCACAGAAGTTTCTCCTTTAAATCCATCCTTGGGCCAGAGTTCTTTCTCAGATCCCAGCCCTTTCTTCCTGCTCTGCTTCTCCTTACTCTTGCACAATGACCTTCTCCCTCCGTCCCCAAGCTCGGTTTTGTTGGGAAACACTTTTCCATTCAATATGAGAAAATCGAAGAGGAAACCATTAGTAGTACGTGCGCGACTGTAATTACTGGTGGTTTATATCCCTACACATTTTCACTCAGAACACATGGCCAAGCTAGGTGCTACAGATCCAGAAAACACCTTGAGAAGAAAGCAAAAGATAAAATCCTTCCAATACCTCTGTCTCTCTTGCTCACAGCCCCTGTGGGAATCTGTGTGTGTGTGTGTGCTTTCTTTTCAGAGTAACCTAAGCAAGTAGCTGAGCATAAATCAGGAAAAAACACAGATTTTGACCTTTATATGTGATTAAATGGGACAGAAATTGGTCATCTTGCTAAACAAACTGCAAATTTCCAAATATGTCAGGAAAGTCCAATTGCAAGTGCTATGGTAAAAGATTAAAAGCAAATGAAAAACAATTGGTTGATGAAAAGACAAGAAACATGGAGAAGAAGAAAAAAAAAGAAGTGGGAGGGGCCCACAAGATGAAAAAAGATTGAGAAACTGGGACAGAGTAAGAAAGCCAAAATATTCAGACTTATGGAGGGTAAATATGGGGCCAGTGCTCCAGATGTTTTTAGATAATCCAAAAGTTATGGAGGGCAAATTTCTGTAATTTCTTTCTTTTCAATAAGGTGATTAATCAAAAGAAGCTATCTAAAGTACTTAGATATTGCTTTAAAACCTTTCATATACAAAATATTACAAAAGATATCAAATGTATGCCCCAATGTTTTTGGCTTGGAAATCAATTGCCAAAATTGGAAAGCATTTGGTGAAGGCAGACAGAAGAAAAGCAGAAGGTTTGCTTTGCTTCTCGGTCACGTCTCATTGGGTGACTCACTTTTTTTCTTATCTGTTAAAAAATACCTGCCTGGGGCCTCCTTCCTGGTGGTGCAAGCAGTTAAGTCTCAGCACTATGAACCTATCCACAGCCACTGCAGCACAAGTTCAATCCCTTGCCACAGAGCTAACCCACATGGCGCAGCAGACCTCTCCTGTCTCATCCACTGCTCCCCTCAGCAGTGTGCCTGTTCTGCTCCTCACTGTGTCTCTGGTGAATCCTCTCATCCCTGCACCTCTGGCCTACACCCCAGCTCTTGTATGCATAAATAAATAAGTCTTTAAAAAAAAACACCTTCCTGTCAGGTGTTAAAATTTAGATTATTATAAAGAACAGGCAACGAAAGGAAATAAACTATGTCATCATTTAGTTACTGCCCCAGCATGTAACGTAGAGTCTGGCATACACAAGATAGTCAATTAATATTTGTGAATCAATTATTTTTAAAAGGAAACAACTCAAAAGAATAAGAAATGACTCCTTTTGTTTTAGCTTAATATTACCTATATTAGTGGAACATCTAACCTAGGATTAAAATCTATTGTGGGGGCCTCCCTGGTGGCACAGGCAGTTGAGTGCCACACTGTGAAGTTGTCCACAGCCTCTGCTGTGCCGGTTCAATTCCCGCCAGTCTCGGAGCAACCCACATGGTGAGTAGATCTCTCCTGTCTCACCCACTGCTCCCCTCAGCAGTGTATTTTGTCGGTCTGCCTGTTCTGTACCCAGCTCTGTCTCTGGTGAATCCTCTTACTCTCTCACACATGTGGCCTGTACCCCGGTTCTTGTATTAAAAAAAATAAATCTTTAAAAAAATAATAAAAAATAAATAAATAAAATCTGTTGTGAGCATGAAACTAATGTCAAATTGATTTTCCCATGACAGATAGGAAGCCGGTTTTATTTAGTTTACTATCTTTCCAGCACTGGCTTGTGAAGGGAATTTTCTGTTATGTCAGATGAAAACATACTGAAGTTGAATTGAATAGGCAGCAGACTAGCCTTGCCCTAAGCAGCCCAAATAACCCTGGCACCCAGTGACATTCACACAATGGTGTGGTACCCTCTGGAGCCATGATGCAATCACAGTGCACTACCTGCACCTGCACCTTTGCTAAAGAACCACCCAGAAATCTGCTTTAGTCATTGATTAAAAAATGAAATCTATTTTGAGATAAAGACTTTCCTCAAAATCCTGGGGAAAGATAAGTCTCTATTTACAAAGCTATGTGGAACCTCTTCCTCAATTCACTTGTACAAGAAATTCTTGTAATTTTTCAAAATGCTTTTCCTGCCACAGATGGGTTACATATTCACCTCCAGAGCTTTGCATCCTCTGATAACATGCAGAGACAAGCTGTAAGCAGCCACTTGTCTTATTAAAATCTTCAAAACAGGGCCTCCGTAGTGGCACAGGAGTTAAAGTCTCCATGTTATCAACCTATTGCCAGCCACTGTGGTACCAGTTCGATCCCCAGCCAGGCAGCTAACCCACATGGCACAGCAGACTTCTCCTGCCTCACCCACTGCTCCCCTCAGTAGTGTATGTGAGTAGATTTGCCTGTTCTGCTCCCCACTCTGTCCACCTCTTTCTAATAAAGACTGAATCTGACTCAAATAAAATTACATCACACTTAGTTCACTTTTTATGTGTAATACCCATTCTTTTCAAATTTTGATCTATTTGTACATATTATTTACATACCACTATTTCCCCTAAGACATTCCACTGTACATCATTATCTAAACACTTGTTTTTAGAGGCTATATTTATTCTACCATCTTAATGCATCATCAAGCTTTAATTCATTTTTGGAATGAGCTGAAATGCATACAACCAAAAATACAAATCATTTTAGTGTTTTCTTAGTTACTTCCTTTTTGTTAGTCTTTTACATAATTTCTTTTTTTTTATTTTTTGCTATTATAAAGAATTGTGCAAAACTGCTATTTTAGCTTTCAGATTTTTTGGATATATTTCACCTAAAAAGGAATCACCAGATGTGGGTATACAGTTTTAGACTATTCGTGGGACTGATCCTCTAAAATAATAAATTGGCAATGCTATCAACAACCTGTCTGGGTACGTAGGCTGTGCCCTCATTACCACCAACTAGTGCCCGGGCTCTGTTTGGGTTCAGCTTGCAGGAGGCTGTGGCAGGAGACCAGAGCTCAAGCAAAGAAGTCAGGTACCTGCTCGGACTCTGCTTGGTCCCCTCTCCCTCTCCTTATAAAAGCTCAGCAGTGTCTATGGCTCTGGGTGCTGCTCCTCCAGGAGTAACCTGATGCTCCCCTTTCTCCTACAGGTCTGTGGAAACAGCTCTGCACAGTCCATTTGCTGGGTGCTTCCTGGGTGCTCCCGTCTCTCCTTGCTCCCTTTAACCCGCTTAGGTATCTGCAGCATGCCCCCCTGCATCCTGCTGGAACGGCTGCTATCTCTGCATATTATCATATTTCTCTATTTAATGTTGCCTAAAAGTTATTTTATTTTGCATTTCTGACACTGCTAATGAGGCAGGACACTCTTCAAGTAGTCAATTAATGCTCGTAATTTGTCATCTACAGATGGTTCAATCCCTCTAAACCATTTTCAAATGAAACCTGAATAATATGTACATTATGTACAGTTATTAAATATAACCTTGGTGACTATAACATCAATCTTGTATCATAATTTAATGAACTATTTCACTATCATTAAATATTTAAATTATTTCCCACTGTATTATTATAAAAGTATGTTGAACTTCTTTGACTATAAATCCTTGATATCATTTCTAATTATTTCCTGAGGACAAATTCTTGGAAGACAAACTATTTGACACATTGAAAAGACAGAAAGACTTTTAAATGTATTATCAAAATGCTTTCAGAAATGTGGCATAAGTTTACTCTCTCAGTAAGGTATGTAAACCAACATTTAATATTACCTTTGTGCTTTTATCTTTTTACTCTTCCAACAAGAATGGATGGTAGGAAATTGGATCTTATTTGTACCGATATATCTGCAGACATCTTATAGATTAATAAATGCTAATTAATTAATGCTAATAAAGGTTATTAGCATTTTTTAAATGTGCAGTAACTTTCTATTTTGATGCTCTTACATTTTTATGATGTTTTATTTACTTAAGTTTTAAATTTTGAAACAAATTTTTCTATTTAAACTTTTAAATAGAGAAATGTCTTTTTTTTTCTTAACTCATTTCATCCACTGCTTCTATGTTTAAGAAAGAGCATTCTTATCTAAAGACAGATATACACCAACATTTCCATCCATTTTTACCATTTCACATTTATCCCTATATCTATTGCAATTTACAGTATTATATGACATGAGTTTAAGAGCTGAGTTTATTTTACAATAAATAATCAGTGCCCTCAAATGTTATTTTGATTTAGTTCAAATCAACAATTTTTTGTTGAATGGCTATTCCATGTTAAGAATGTTCTATGTAACTGGGATCACTCCGTCAGTAAAGAGAATATGTAACAATCACTAACCTAGTGGAGTTTATATTATTATAAATATAATGAATCATACATACTGTATATACACAAGAATATATTATTAATTTAATAATCCAGGGGCAGATCTATGGTCTATGGGTCAGATCTAACCATGTGCATTCATTTACATTTAACTTGTGGCTCTTTTGCCCCGTAACTGCTACACCAGATGTGACAGTGGCATGAAAAGTTGAAACAGAAACTATCGTGCTCTTTACAGAAAATGCTTGTTGATTCCTGGAAATAAATAACCAATAGCTTCCCTACCAAGAAGTGATAAATTCTTCATTGCGTGTTTATCTCTTGCATATCTCAAACCCTGCTTCTGGCTATTCATTTCATTGCGTTGATATGCTCACTTGCATCTATGCTAAGACCACACTGAGAATATTTAGAAATTCATTCCTTAAATATTTTTAACTTCAGACACTATTTATTCATGCATTTATTCCACAAGTTTGTACAAGTATCCCTTATGTGTGGACCAAGTCGAGGTCGGGTCATGGCAGTGAACCCAACAGACAAAATCCCTGCCTTCCTTTGCTGCGGTAGAAACAAAAACAAACACACCAGAATGTCAGGTGGGGTTAAGTTCTACGAAGAAAATGAAGCCAGTGAAGGGAGCGCAGAGGGAAGAGGTTGCAGCTTTACCCATGGAGACCAGTGGAGGCCCCTCTGAAATGCTTAAGCAGCAACCTGGAAAGAGAGGAAAGAAGCCATAGGCATAGCTGGGGGATGAACACCCTGCACAAATGCAAAGGTGCTACAGACAGACAGTGTCTGCACCACAAGGTGGACAGAACACTCACTAGGGGAGAACAAAAGGGCCGGGGAAGGAAATGGGGGAGACAGGGGAGAAGTAAAATCATGTAGGGGCTTTACTCCAAGAGAAACTGAGCAGAGGAGTGACCTGGACCCACATCTTCTTCATCTGTTCCCCATCATATGGCTGCTATTTGGAGAAGAGAGAGAGAGAGGACAGAGTGAAAGCAGGAAAATGGGTGAGATAACTGCAATAATCCAGATTTTGAGAATTAATGATACCCCTGAGCGGGTAGTGATACAAGCGCTCAGAGGCAGTCAGATTCTGAGTCTTTTCCGATGAGTGCTTACAGACTTTGCTAAAGATGGGAAACAGTGTAAGAAAGTAAGATTTACACTTATGAAATTTTTTTATTTTGGCCTGAATGCCTGGATTAAATAGTAAAATTGTCATTTACTGAGATATCAAAGACTTGACAAGGAATTCTTTTGCCGCTGGGCATGGGAGTGCACAAGGAGGCCTGACAGCAGAGTGGAGATGTTGTGGAGGCAGGTACACATGTAAGGCAGGATCAAGGGATTGCCTGGCCTTAGACGATGAGGTCAGCAAAGAGGCTGCAGACAGAGAGAGGAGCAAGGCAAAGGCCTGAGTCTGACACACTCCAGTATTCACAAGTGGGGATATGCATATTCACGCCACATGGTACCACCACTATAATTCAGCATGAACATTAAGAAATGAAAGAGAGGCCTCCCTGGTGGCACAGCAGGTTGAGCACAGCTCTGCGAAGCTGTCCCAGCCTCTGCAGCGTGGGTTCGATTCCCAGCTGGCCAGGGAGATAACCTCAGGGTGCAGCAGACACCTGTCTTACCCACTGCTCCCCTCAGCAGTGTTTTCGGTCCATCTGCCTGTTCTGCTCCCCTCTCTGTCTCTGCTGAATTCTCTCACCCTCCCGCGCCTATGGGCTGTACCCCAGCGCTTGTATAAATAAATCAAACTTTAAAAAAAAAGAGAGAGAAATGAAAGAGAACACATGAAGATTACGGAATACTTTGTTTCTTCACTTCCCTGAGATGCTACCAATATGGCCATATACAAAGAACCCTACAAAATGAGACTTTTCAGGGACTTTATCAATGTAAGAAAGCCAAGGAAATTATGGAATCAAATAATCAAGCAAAAGAAAACTCTCCAATTCTGCCAAATTAAAGAACTTGGAAAGTACATTTCTAGGAACATACACATTACCCCTTTACTCCATCACTCACCATTTGGTAAGTGAGTGAAAGGAGAAAATAGCTCAAGCGGTGGAAGTGAAAATGGCCAGGACCACCACCCAACTCTGTTAGCTGCACCTCCAAGTCACTTTTGGGTCAAATTTCATCCCGCAGCACGTCACACAGAGCAGTGCTGGTCATACAGAATCTTGAAACTGATAGCAAAATTGGGGACATCTTCAAAAGGAAGCTAATGTGTACTGCAGAAACTCTGAGGGACGGGCGGGGGTGGGGGGACAAACCACCTATGCTTTAACAACCCTCCAGATAATTCAGACACTCCCACAATGTCAAGGACTACTGCTCCTCTCAACTGCAGGCCATCTTCTACTTAGTTAACCAATTTTTGTAACTTGAATTTGAAAGTATATGGTGCTTCCTTAATGTCACCTCAAGGGGAAAAAGAAAAGGGCAGAAATGGAACAGTCAGGCTTCCTGACCCTCCCTTTCTATAGGAAGGGTTCATGGCATCTTTGATGAGGAGGTAAGGGGGCTGCTGCTTTTATAGGTAAACAAGAGGGAAACCAGAAAAAAAGAGGAAAGTAGTTTTGGCAGTGGAGCTAAGTGGATGAGGCTGGACAAGAGTGAACAGACCAGTAAGATCTTGAAATTGTCTAGCCTTCATGTAAAAATAACATTGTCTACTAAATCAAGGTAAATGAAAACTTCTTTCTACATGTGTAATTGTTTTTAAAGCCCTTATATACCTTAGCCCTATGAACACACCTATGGACAGTGTTTCCAAGGCAGTTTCCACTGGCAGTGATGATCAGCCTTCTGTTTGGTTTAAAAAATAAAAATCCTTTTAGCTTTACAGCTCATGCTGCCTAGACTGTGACCTTGGTCTTTTTCAAGTTTGTCCTTAGTCTGTAGCACCATGGAAATCAGTTAAACAGCTATAATCTTTTTAATATCTTCCCTCACGTGTCCTTTTATAGCACAGTCATTGGCACAGAAACCATCACTGACTTCAAGGTCTCTGGAGATACTCACAGCCCTTCAGATCTGCAGCCCCCCCCCCCAAGGTCTGGGGGGTAAATATGAGTGTCACACGAGTCCCGATAAAACAGAATGATTTCTGCACAGGGGCAGGTCTACCTGAGACAAGTAATGTGTGGCTTTTAGTTCTACAGCAGGTAGTAAAGCAGTGGCCACACTGCTTCACGCTGGCCTGGACACAGTGGAGACAGCGCTCACTGCATCACACCAAAGGCAAAAAGCATTTTCACCTGCAAACTTTGAGTGAACAAGAGTTCCTGGACAGGACTGACATGTTTGCCAAGACTGTTTTTGAATGTCTGGTCTACAGTCAAGTCAATGTTTATTGGATCTCCACGGCCATATCTCCTTCCAGAAAGGTTGGAGGAAAGCTCTTGGGGAACAGTGAGCACACATCTGTAATCCAGTGGAAAAGAAACTCTCGCAAATCCCTCTCCTCCAAAAACACTCAAAGGAGGTTCATGCACAGCGGCCAGGGCTGAGAAACGCAGGAAGCCAGAGGACTGGGATGGGCCTGCACAATTCTTAAGCGGCCTCAAGAGTGACATGTACACTGCCTTCTATTGGTGAAGCACTTGTTTGAACATCAGGTCCCGTAACTTAATGGGAAAACTAAAAAAGATGAACAATGTCAAAATATAGACTCTGGACCTGATGATAACTCACTGTGTTAGGGGAAAAAAGGCCAGAAGTGCTAACTAAAATTAAGTGCTGCTTGTCAAGATGATTCCTTCCTGGGCCTCCCCTGGTGGTGCAGGTGGTTAAGCGCAGCTGTGAAGCTGTCCACAGCCTCTGCAGCGCAGGTTCGATCCTGGCTGGATGGCGAGATACCCACATGGTGCAGCAGACCTCTCATGTCTCGCCCGCTGCTTCCCTCACCAGTGTATTTCGGTCAATCTATCTGTTCTGTTCCCTGCTCTGTCTCTGGTGAATCCTCTCACCCTCCGGCACATCTGGCTTATACTCCGGTTCTTGTATGCATGGATAAATAAATCTTTAAAAAAAAAGGAATCTTTAAAAAAAAAAAAGATTCCTTCCTTCCTTTCTTGGTTCATTCATTTACTTTGTATTATCAGGGAAAAAGATATTTGCTGGATAATAACTACAAAATTCCAACCAGCTTCATATGTCCTCCCGAATGCCCCCAAAGAAGCCAAACAAGAAGAAATACACTCAGTAAAAAGCAGAATATATTCTGACAGGCATTATGGAAACACCAGGTGAGTCAGCTACTGGAGTATGCATCTGAAGAAGACCCTGAAACAGACATTGGGGAGCAATGCTAAGTGCTGAGTGGCTCCATCAGGAACTGGTCCGTGCCAAGGCCACAGGCAAGACTCTTGAGAGCTCTTCCATCCATGGTGTGATTAAACTGATTATATGAGGTTGAATATAAATTGCCCTCTGCACACGTCTACTGTAAAAAGGCCACTAAAATTCCATCCATGACAGAACAACACTTTCTGTTCCTATATACTCTGCACAGGGTCATGTACAATCTTGTGAATCACATCTGAACTTTGCAAATGTAATGAATTAAATCAAAGGTTTAACTGCTAGTTTTCATCCAGATGCTGTTACTGTTGAGTCAATGTGTATCTCCACCATCTTACTACATTAGTAGTTAATGTTCAAAACGTAACTTACCCTTGCCATGTCCACCAAGAAGTTCTCAAATAATTTCCAAATGTGGTTACTTGTGTAGATTTCTTTCATTTCTACTTCAGTATCGACATAGCAATGATTAACGAAGTTCACATAAGCAATTTTAACCTGCACGAATTTCAAATACAAAAGTTTGTTTATTGTTCATTTTCAAATATCAATTACGAAAGGCTCAATAAAATCTGTGAGTTCTAGTAGACTGAAGTAAGTCTTGTGTCCACCTGGAGGGCAGGCCCATTTCCCTTGGTTTTCTAAGACTCTCCACCCCTGGCCCGGGGATGGACACATAACCTAGTACTCCAGCCCCGAGGGCCCAGGGCAGGTGCGAGAATGATTCCTTCACTCAAACCAAGGCACTCTGAGACATGAGGGCTCAAAAGTGCTCCCTCTCCTCTCCCACTCCCCCCACCCCCTTATTGCTAAAATGGAACAAGATAAACCCAAACTCCAAGAAGAAGGCATCTTCTCCAGGTGTCTGGAAAAGAATTATGCTCAGAAGGGAGAGTGGCAAAACCACAAAGAAGAAGGGAATGAGAGAGGGAATGCATCTGTCATTGCTTGACCCTCAGGATCGATCTGAACCTAAAATTATCCTTCAAATTCCCAAGTCCAAGAGCCAATAAAGTTTCCTTTTTAATTTAGACTAGTTGAGTTAGGCTTCTGTTCCTTGCTACCAACAGAATCCTAACAGAATGTTTAAATGTGTTAACTAAATAGCACTTTGTTGTCATTCAAAAATATTTAATCACTACTTCTTTGAGAAGAAATGGATCACAGTTTACACCTACACAAACATATTATTTTAAGACACAGACAAATTCCAGCTTTAGCAAAAATCTGCATGAAGGACAGGGATGAGTCTCACCAACATACACCATTTCTGCAGTGGGTAGGATGATGGTTTGTGTTTTTCATTTTCTTCTCTTTCTTTCCTTCCTCCCTTACTCTCTCCCTTTCGTCCTTAGTGAAAAATTGATGAATCGCCCCGCACACATAGAACCATGAGGAACTCACAGGCAGCTACCTTCCCCTTAACTTATGTCTGGTTGGCTGAGGTCTAGACCCTGCAGTGATGGGGAAATGGTTTCAAGGACCAGGGAAGGAGACCGCTGAGCCACTCGGTGAGGATGAACGTCACCTTCACAACAACCAGTATTTATTCCTCACCAGGCACCTCCAGCACTTTGTAGGGGATATTTCATTTAACCCTCCAACAATCCTACTAGGTACACACTAGAATTTTTTCACTTTAAAATTGCGGAAATTGAAGGTAAGCAAAAGTCACCCACTGAAGTCGGACACATAGCTAGGAGGTAACAGACCCAGGATTCTGACTCATTCTTTCCTTCATTGAAAATACACTTACAAAATATATCTTCTGGCTTAGATGATGTAATGATGAGCAGAAACAGATCTACTTTTTCCATCATCAAGCTTATTGTCTTGGGAAAAGATGTGAGGGTTGCAGACTTTTGCCAACTAATAAAACTCAAACATCAATTTCAAATGGCAGGCTCTTAGAGACTCTCTTAAGGAGACCAGGCAGTCTTCCTTGAAGAAGCAAGGCTTGACTTGAGATCCAAGGATCCGGAGGAGCAAAGCAGGTGAAGGATGAGGTAGGGGTGGTGATGTCAGAGGGAGCCACACATGCGCAGCAGTGTAGACAGAATCAAGACTTCAAATGCGACAAAGACTTCCTCGTTAGTATAGTGGTGAGCGTCCCCGCCTGTCGAATGCGGACAGAGCCAGGGTCCAATGACTACAACACGCCTCTCTCTCTGCCATCTTATTTCAAACCAATCAAGGCATGAAGCATCCCTGTTTGGCGACATCAATAATTCCACAAAAAATACACTTTGAAGTCTATCTTTGAAGGCTAACCTAAACTGACACCTTTGCAAGTTACTGTGATTTAGATATCTGGTTTCACATCATAGGATAGGCAATGTGTCACACATTCATGATACACTAAAACACCTACCACAGCAAAAAAGAAATTATTACAATGTACTGTAAGTCTCACTAATCCCACTGACAACCAGTTCCTAACGAGCTCTTTTCCTCTCCTCAGAGCTAAACTAGGACATGGGATGATGTTTGTGATGTTTGAACAGAGCCAAACAATAGGTGGTGTTTGAACAGAGCCAAAAGCATGTTTGAACAGAGCCAAACAACAGGTAATGTTTGAACAGAGCCAAAAGCATGTCTGTATTTTCAAGAGGTAGCTATTCCACAAAGCGAGGTAGACCTATAATAAGACCCAACCCCGAGGCACTACCCTAGCTGTTCCTGTCAAGGCCAATAAGCTGTTCACAAAGCATCTGTGTGATGTTTGGGAACACAGGAGGGGCCCCACACCCACCTTCCGGTGTGAACAAACTGCCATACTCAGAATTGCACCCTCCTGTGGACTAGCTTGCAGTAAACCAACAGTGGCTATTCTTTAAAATGGTGTATCGTCTTTCATACCTTCCTGTGGAACTAAAAAGGTAAACTTGCTCTTTTCAGTATTTCTAATTATCCAGCTAACTACATTGCCTTGGCAAAATATATAGCCTCATTATAAAAACAAGTATGGGTACCTCTGGTTCTTCCACACTTAAAAAAAATTGATCTTGGCCAGGCTTACCTCGGGGATGCAGTCATCGTGGGTCACTACCCTCACTATGTCGTCCAGGGGCAGCAGGGAGTTGCACTTGATTTCAGTGTAGACATTCTTGCCCTCTGTGCATGCAGCCAGCAGCTCCACAAGTGTGATGTGGTAGGCTAAGGGGCCACTCTCATCCCCCCGGTCTCTCTCTGAACACATCATATGGCGCAGGATGGGAAACGATGCTCGATCATTGTAAAATATCAGCACATCTTCACCCCCATTGATCAACTGAAATGATGAGAGAACAGAGCACCCCAAGTGTTCATCCAGCTGTTATTTCCAGTATACATATGTGCAAAAATATTAACAATATTTTTTTCCATAGACTCTTCACCTGGTGTCATGAGACTAACGTGCTTTAAGAACACAAGCATCTCTGTAAAAAGAGAGTTAATGTCGTAAAAACAGAACAATACCAAGGCAGGAAAGTAGAAAGGCACTGGTCATGTGCTGAGCAAATGCTCTCAGCATTAGGTGCCCAAAATTATTGAGTCACATAGATAAGAATGGATTATTTATCAGTGAGCAGCTACCCAGAAAATTAAACCTGCAACAACATAAAACCCTTTCCCTCTACTTCAGCTGGAAGACTCTGCTGCCAAAGCATGAGAATGTTCCTAAGTCTAATTTCACTAAAGCAGAATAAAATAGCCCCATCTTTCCTATAGTGACTGAACAAGCAAGCACATTGAACCACATGCAACTCTACAGAAATCTGGAAATTCCATGTGCCCTGGGCATCCACAGAGGACAGAGGTAAAAGCAGAGATGTGAGGAATAGAGAGAGACCTTAAAAAAAAAAAAAAAAAAAAAAAACAGGAAAAAGAGAAATGAATAGGCGGGGGCTTCAGGACATAAATTTTCCTTCCTGTTTAGTTTATATAATTTTAGTGGAGAATTTCAGCAGGTGGCAATTTTATTGCTCAAAAGCACAATGACTTATTTTCTACCTATTACCAGTACTAATTTGCTAACCCCAGGGAGAAATATTTTGGTAGGTTACATAGCTTTTTATAATTTTTTCATTGTTTTATTTAAATTGTTAACCTATTTAAACTTTATGCAAATTAATTGACTTACTTTGAAAATTTTATTGAAAGAGAATATACATATGTGTAAAAATATTAGCAGTATTTTTTTTTCCATAGACACCTCACCTGGTGTCATGAGACTAACTTAAATATTTGCTTCTTTCCCATTTTAATTCTTTTGTTGGGGGTCATACTACAAAATGAAATTCATTCTCACATGTCTCGTTAAGGACTAATGTGGATATAAATTTAGGTAAGAAAAAGGTAAATTTCACAAGCTTAACATGTTCCTTAAAATAATTTACATTTAAAATTCAAGGCTGGGCCTCCCCTGGTGGCACAGTGGTTGAGCACTGGGCTGCAAAGCTGTGCACAGCCTCTGCAGCACCAGTTTGATCCCGGCCACCGGCGAGGGTCCCGCATGGCGTGCAAACCTCTCCTGCTGTGCCTGCTGCTCCCCTCAGCAGTGTACTTCATCAGTCTGCCTGTTCTGTTCCCCGCTCTGCCTCTGGTGAATTCTCTCACCCTCCCGTGCTTCTGATTGTACCCAGTGCTTGTATAAATAAATAAATAAATCTTTAAAAAATAAATAAATAAAAATTCAAGGCTTTGGAAATCTGACTATAAAACTGAGGCTACCAGAAGAGGGGGAGAAGCAGTCCCCATGGACTATGGTGGAGGACTGTGGGTGTCTTGGTGTGTGGGGGGGTGGTAGCAACTCCTGGAAGGTGTGAGCCTATATCTATAAATCAGATACATTGTTGTAAGCCAATGTAACCTCAGTAAAAAAAGAAAGGGAATAAACACAAAAATACACATCTCAAAAAAGTCCAAGGCTTTCAGTTGAATTAAGTTTTAGGTTTCTCTGCGACACATATTCTCTTATTGTATCAATATAGAAATCATCCCCATTCCCAAATTTCAGATGTAGAATTGTGAAACCCCTCAAGTAAATATAACCTACTGTTTCATAGTCATATCTAAAAGGTGATTGCAGTCCTACCTTCCTCCTGAGAACCATAGGTCAAAGAGCAAAGCTCAAAGACTGGCTCAAAGATTCCCCAGTGCTGCCGAGTAGTACTGCTTCCTAGTAGCTGACTTACTGTCAACCTCACCTAATGTCAAACATTTGTTTTCCTTAAATTTTAAACTTACCCTAAATAGCCAAGTTTCTACAACTTATAAATCACTGATGGGTACTTTCTGTTAATGTAATTACCTTTACAGCCTTTGACAAATAGCAGAGAACACCCATTCTGTATTTCAGGCAGAGCAATAAAGGCACTGGAAAGGCAGAGTTTCCTCCATCTTTGGTAGATTATTGAAAAGTTAAAAATTTCAAACATTGCTGCTTTTATTCTACATGGTGTCATGAGACTAACTTATCATATCATAGGATTTTATCCATTATTGAAAATACTTTGACATATACAAATTCTTTTTTTTGGGGGGGCAGGGTGGGTGGGGGGAGGGTTGATGATTTGTTACCTCTATGACAAATTAAAAAATTATTATTTTTCATTCCCCCTCCTCTATGTGCTTTCTTTATCGGGTCACACTGGTTGATAACATTACATTGGTTTCTGCACAGGGCCCTGTCCAGAAGCATTGGTATCCACCTCCTTCATTCCCCACAGACCAGTTCCCATCCTCCATAACCAACCCCTTTTACCCACAGCCCCAGCCTCCCTCTCTCTGGTCACCACTACTATTTTGTCCTTATAGCCTAATGGCACAGTTTGTTTTTGTTTTGTTTTGTTTACTCCTTTGTTGTTTCCTTACCTTCCACAGAGGAGTGAAATTACATGGCGTTGCTCTTCTTCCAAAAAGAAAAACAAACTCTTAGAAAATGATAAAATCAATCAATGATAAGTTGCTCCATTAGATTAAAGCAAAACACTTCTGTGCTTAAGTGCCCGTGATTCTTTTCCCGAGTTATGTGGTCATGGATATTTTTCACTCTAAGTTAAATGCAAACACGCATTTGGGCGCACTGTTGAGGCCAGACAAGGGAGACGCGATGGACAACATACCTCCGTCATCACCATATCCTGGCATTTCTTCACGTATTTACCATCCGCCTTCACGATGGTCTGCAGAAATCGCAGGTACTCCACGTGGCGGCCGTGCGTCTCCACGCAGCGCACGAAGTGCTGCACGGCGCGCTCGCTGATCTCGCTGCACAGGTGGTAATTGTTCATGAAGATGTGCCGCATGGTCTCGGCCTCCAGGAGCTGCGCAGAGGAGCCGCCCGGGTCACTTGCCAACACCCAATCTCTACTCCACCGCCCCGAGATCCCCTTTCCAGCCTGCAGGATAGTTTTCTATCACGCAGCCACAGTGAGCTTCCCTGCGCGAGCAGTGCCGTCACTCAGCACAAAGAGGGAACTGAGCTCATAGAAAATTTAGTTGAGAAAAGATGCTGATTTTCATTTTTGGTATTTAGCCAAGGACTTTTTTTTTTTTCCAAAGAGGAAATCTGATGTCAAAACAATAATTTTGGGTAGGCCTCTGAACTAATTATTAAATGACACGGGGTTTACATGAATTTGAAAATTACTGAAGAAATACTGCAGGAAAACATATGTGTCTCAGGTGTGCCTCGTTAAAAATCGGCCTCTATAAAAGTGAGCTTCTCATCATAAAGGTCAACATGTCACAACAGAATTCTTGAGATTCATTTAATTATCTATTACTCGGAGTTAACTCTTCCCTAAAATGTGATGAAACACAGCTTAAGGAGCAGATGCACTCCACCTTTTGGTTTCCCATATGTACTTTGCTCGAGGCCTTCTAGTTAATTCATTGATCTACTGCATCTTATTCCTAACATTAAACTGTAGATATGTAAGTGCAGCTATCATTTCCAGTAAAATTTGTGTTATATTTCAAGTTTCTGTATAAGTTCCCTCAATGGAAATAAAAGATATTCACTTCTAGAGATGTGAATATCTCAGAACCCCTAAAATGAACAAAGATAAGGTGTTTCGGTGCTGCTAAAACCCCCCTGATGGGCACATTACTGTAAATATCAGTGGTCATTAAAATACTCACACCAGGTGTTAAAAACAAATTCAGATGTTTATGAAGGAGAACTTGATTCTGTGGATTTCCACGACAGAAATTCTGCAGGAATGTATGGGCCAGATGCATCACTTCATTCATCTTTTCATCATTCTGTAAGTAAAATTTGGTGGGAGACACAGAGAAACAAACTTACTACCACCAAAATATTATCAAAGTATCACAAGCGAGTTTGCTGTTTTTTGTTCCACTTTCTGTGTCCTTAATGATTCTTCATCTCTCCCAGCTACCTTGCTGCCTCCCTGAATTCTAGATGTCTTTCACCTTCCCTTTACTTTCCTCCTCTATCTGTTCTCCACTCTTGAAACATTCTCATTGTTTCATTATCATTTGCCTTTCTACTAAATGTTCCCCTGAACTTTCATTTATTTACTCTTTTTTATTGCTTAACTTTTATTTATTTATTCTTTTGCTTAAATTTTATTTATTCTTTTTTTTATTCTAAAGGGGAAAAAGCAAGCAAGAGAAAAACAAAAATGAAAACACCCACCACCATTCATCACAGGCCCTCCCTGCCAACACCCAATCTCTACTCCACCCTCTTCTCTGTGGACAGCCTTATTCTGTTACCAAGGTTCACTAGTTTATTTTTGTTTTGTTTGTTTTGTCTTGTTTCGTTCATGTTTTACTTCCTTATTTTCTACTCGTAGTTGAAATCATCCAGTATTTCTATCTGATTTCACTTTGCTTAATCCCCTTGAGTACCTTCCATTTTGCTGCAAATAGCAAAATTTCATCTTTCCTTATTGCTGAATAGTATTCTTTTGTGTGCATACACCGTATCTACTTATCTCTCATCAATCACTGGGCACTTATGTTGCCTCCATATAATCTTTGCTATTGTAAATAGTGCCAAAAAGACACACTAGGGTGCATGGAATCCTTTGAGTTTATGGTTTCATATTCTTTGGAGAGATCCAAAAGTGGAATTGTTAGAACATATAGTGGTTTGATTTTTAGTTTTGTAAGGCTACATCTCTGTGCACAGCTTTCTCCCCTGCCTCTGTCCCCAGCTTCCCCTCTCCTCCCTCCTTCCCTGATTCTTCTCTCTTCTCTGCAAACCCTTCCTTCCCACTCATTCCTCCCTTCTCTGATGTTCCCCCTTGACTTCCATTTCTGTGTGTCTGGATCTTTCTGTGTCTTCTATTTTCTGTTTCTCCTCTTACTGCACCTTCTATACCCCCCTTTCTCAAATTTCTCCTGCCCTCTACTTCTCCAGGCATCAATTTCTCCTCCTCTTGCTTCTTCTAACTTTTCCTTTCCTGTTCCCATGCCCTCCTGGATGCTGTCAACTCTTCTCTCTATGCATTATTCCTCTTCCCACCCTGTACACATTTCTGTATTTTTCACCCTATATCTATCCTCCTATTCTCCCATCCCTTTGCTATTGACCTTGTCTCTTATTTTCTCCTCTCTTTTCCGTTATCTTTATGTTCTAACCCCTCTTTCCCATCTCTTTTTATCTCCTCTTTATTAACACATGTACTCCAAAGTTGCTTCCCTTATTCATCATCATTCCCAAGGAAAGCTCTCCACTCTGCTGCTGTCATTTGTTTATAGGAATAAGAAAATTAAGTCTCAAATTCATAAGGTATGCTAAATACTTTTCTCAAATGTGGTCTTTTAACTACATCACTGAAACCACCTAAAACTTTTCTATGTAGTAGAGACAGTTCATTTGTTATGTGGTCAGTGTCAGAGAGACAAAATGAACTCATGTTTTGAGTAGTAGATCATAATGAATAAATTTAATATTTACTTTCTTTCCTAATCTAAGGCTCTCTAGTTCATGCCTTCTATCACTAAACAAACAGCTTAAGGCCATCAATATGCTCATTCCCTTGTGTTTAAAATAAGGAAAAACTAACAAGAAAAATAAACAGGACCAAATACTCCATTCCTGAGTGAAAAGAAGGAAATTTCCATTTCAATGTCTTCTAACACACTCTTTAACTTCCATCTTATTCTCTTCTTGTTACTGAACTATCCAGTCATTATAACCAAGAAACCTATAAATACCAACACAGTAGTAAAATACTCAACACCACAGTTACAGGAGAAGGGACTCAATGATGGCCCATGCCCATATCACAAAAACACCCTAATCAAGTGACTGATATTGGCTTCAGCAGGAATGGGCAAACCAAAGCCGTCTGCCACTGGGGGGAAGAGGTAGGAAGAATTTAGCATCACACTGTTGCATTCCTGCCACAGCTGCATCACTGAATCCAATCATGAGAAAACACCAGGTGACCCAAAGTGAGGGGCAGTTTTCAACAGAGCTAGTCTGCTACCCAAGGTGTCAAGGTCACAAGAGTTTCGTGATAACCTGCACCAAAGGGACCTTTTTGTCAAAAAGGACATGACTAGGACACAGGAGAAATGTTACTGGTATAAGCAGTCACTGGCTGTACAATGTCACTGGGGTCCAGCAGGAGAGTGTCCTTGTTGGCAGAAAACAGACACTGGGGGCTCAAGGGTAATGGGACATAGATTTGCAACTTTCAGAAAGTACAAGGAAAAACATCATTTATACCTTTGCTATACTTGAAATTGTATCAAAATAGAAAATTAAAGCAAAAAGAAATGACCTTTTCATAAGGGATCTGCAGCAGATCCAGCACCACGGAATGAGCCCCCATATTTTTCAGCAGTCGCTGGTGTTGAATCCGACACTTCTTGTTCTGTACACAGAGTTTACTTAGCCTAATCAAAATCTTTAAAAAGAAAAGGAAAAACATTAACTATAAGAAATGATAATACTAATATATAAGAAAAATTATCTGTCATGCTTGCAGTATTGAGACTACTAGAAGGAAAGGTGAGGAATAGAGTCAATGGGCTATGGTGGAGGACCATGCGGCTTTGGTGGTGGGTGTGGTGACATATATCTGAAGAGGTGTGACCCTGTACTTTGAAATCTTAGTGTCATAAACCAACATGACCTTAGCTTAAAAAAAAAAAAAAAAAAGATAAAATACAGAAGTTGGAAAAAAAAAAAGGGCATGCAAATGCAAACCCATATAAAAATTTTGTATATCTGCTCACCTCCTTCACAATCAGGTAATTATTGCTTTTGTTGCTGTCAATCTGAGGTTTCTTTGTTCCGTCCTGCACTGGACTCAAAATGTTGGATTCCTAAAATAAACACAAGTATGTATTTTTATGCCATGCAGAGCATTTTAATAAATTTATTTATTTTGTAATAAATAATACATAAATGTTACAATATCTTGTAATGAACTTATTCTTCAATTTTAATGTTTCCTTCGTACTTTTTTATACCACAAAAAGTTCCTTGGCTTGACTGAGTCAGGCAAATAACCACTACTCAATCACAACCAGATTACAAAATAAGTTGCATTACTAATCACTGAATTAAAGTAAAAATGAAGTTATATACAACATTACCATGCCTTTTCTTATGCTTCATATATCAGCTATAGCATGGCTTTATATTGCCTATATGAGAAGGAAAAGTAAAAATCCAGGGCATCAAAGGTCTTATTTTATTATCAGGGATTAACTTTAGGGGGAAAAAAGAGAAAGAGCTTATTACAACAGTCAAAAAAACATTTCAGGAATGGAAGGAAAGAACACCTTCCCCTATGAACTCCTCCCTGGTTACCATGACAGCATTAAGAATGATGGCTTTAGACCAAGTAGTCACAGAACCATGAAAATGAAGCAAGGAAAATAAAAGTTTTAAATAATATTTTGAAATTAATGAATTAATAAAGCATATTAAGAAGACCTGAAAGAGAAATATTTTCATTACAAAACTGCTACCTGTAGCAGTACAATAATAAAAAAATTTGGGCGTGTACATATTTGAAATATCAACTATTGGAGTCATCACATAAAAATAAAACACCAGTTACAATTTTAGCATTTATTAAGACTTAATACATGTGTGGTGCTGGAGTGTGGGGACTGGATCTAAAAGAAATAGAAGGTAGGGTCTTTATCACAAGAAAATTACAGTCTACCTAAGAGGGGAAAATATGAAAAGAAGGATTTGAATTGAATAGAATTCACTATACAGAGAGAGAGAGAAGATGAATAACCATAGCTCTTAACAATTTTATTAAGAAGGTCAGATGTAAGGCAAGGTCTTCAAACATGGTAACTATTTAATGCAGTGAGTGAGGTATATGGGAGGGTAGGGGGATGGCAAAAGGCAGGGGGATATTTGTCAAATGAGACATCACCTTAGCCAAAGGCACTGTAGCAAGAACAACATAATAGCGAGTAGAAAATGTCAAGGCTGGGCGGTGTAGGTGATAAGATGCTCTCCCTGGCTTACAACATGCTCAAAATTGCACTTGAGATGAATATCAAGGTTAACCTGGGACAAAAGCACCCTAAACTCCTGACCACATGGGTGGCTTTGGCTAAATTGATGCCCTGGATTTTAACTTTTTCTTTTTATATAGGCAATACAAAGCTCAGGACAAAGAAACAAAGTATATGAGGCCAATCAATGCATTTCATTTCATCTGTCCCAAATCATTTTTCCTACCGTGTTCCATGACAAGTCACAAAATGAACGCAAACCAAGAAAAGAAACAAACTCTCCTTGGTAGTCAGAGTTTGATGAAAGGCCCCAAGTAGGAGAGCAACTGTCCAGTTCTGAGCCATTCCCACTCTCACTGGGCTTTGAATTCCTCCAGGCAAATCCCCTCACAGATTGAGACTCTCAACAAGAGCTCCACCTTAGCATCCAATCTCTTCCCTCAACTCACCCAGAATATGGAAATTCCCCTGACAGACACTTCCCTTTTTCCTTCTGAAAATGTCCAGCATCATCCATCCACAAACCTGTCTACCTTCTCTGCCTTGTCTTACAGACAAAGAACTCTGGACGCATGGGGTTTTGAAAAAAATTCCATCCCCAGGTCCCATGCATGAGCAGTTTCTACACTAGATGGATTCCTTCTCATCCTTTTGAAAACCTGGGGCTGACCAAGCACTTCAGGGGCACTGCCCACCCCAGGGAGAAGTTCTGCCTCTCAGATTACAACCCTAGTAGGTTTCTCCACGGATGAATTTATTCCATGCTGTATGAAAGACTCAATATTACCAAAACTTTCTTGAGCATTTGCTACTGCGGTTCATGATCATATACTTTAAGGCTCCTCTCTCTGGCAACATTCTTCAAGATGACCTTTAACCTCTCTGACCCTCTGGTCTCCTTCACTCAGTAGAGGTGGAAGTGCAAGGAAAAAAGGCTATGAACAAGGAAAACAATCAAAATGTTGCCCTACGGTCATTTATCCTATTAAACCCTAGGAGGTAAATGAAAGAGGTCCAATCTCCAGCCTGGGTAAATAAAAGAAGGAACTAAAAATGTAAGGTATTGTCTGTGGGCCATCAGACACTAGTGATTCCTAAAATGTTAAGTAAGTTAAGTCACTAGTAGGAGAGGAAAGGCGGTGGTTAAAATGAGTGGAAACTACATAGATGAGGCAAGCAGAGCTTCTGTTTGATAACTAAAACACTTTGTAGATGAGAAGTAAAAATTGCAAAATCCAGAAACATAATTAAATTTTCCTTTTCAGATGATAAAGGAGGTTGAAGCTTTTAGAGGTCATATTCATTTCTCTGGGAAGAGGGTATTAAAGACCAGGTTTGTACTACAAACAAGGATGAAGGCACGACCAAGTCCAAAGACCGACAAAGCTCCTAAGATAGAAAGGAGATTGTGATAAATGTCAAAAAAAAAAAAATCAGTAAAAATGATTTGGCAGATATAGTAAAGTCTATTTTTCAAACAATGGCCTGAAGAAAAAGCAACTGTCTTGTTTTAGGAAAAGTTATCTCAGACAAAATGTACTACATTACAGAAAGTTATGCTTTTTTAGAGGGGAAGACACAGATAAATGCTCAACTCCTTAAGTATGGAAATTATGAAGAATAATTATTTTAATTTAAAATTGCCAGTAGTCAACCAAAGGAAGCAATGCTGGAGAATTCAATAAACAGTCCCTTTTAATTTCAGAAAATAATTCAATATAATTACACAGCACAAAATTATTAAGCCATAGAACATCTGGATGATTCCAAAGTGGTAATCAGGGGAATTTAAGAAATATGTAAATTGTGCAACTACAGTTAGGTTTTGTTTTCCCAATAGGAGGTCAAAGGTTCCAAGCATAGGCATTCCAAGATTTTTACTTTAGTAGGGACAGAAATTGACTACATTTTTTATATCCTACATAACTATGGTCATAGGTCAGTGGCCAAATCAACAAAGCCCTTGCTTTATTCTAAGGACAAAATGTTTGTAAGGTACAAAACGTAGAAGCATCACTTATCCAGAGTCCCTGAGCAGAGCAAGCTCCAAAAAAAAAACCCTAACACTGAGAACAATGCCATATGTATGGTAGATATCCAAGCTATTGTCTTGATGACAGAAATGAAGAATACATATGGTATTACAAAAGCACTTGTACTTTATTGCAATTGCGTCTTATCATCTGGAAGAACTTGAATTAATCTCCTCTAATGGAATAGAAGGAACCACTTAGTTGTCATTTGAAAGAGAGGGCTAGATTTTTAATTGCCTATGATGTCACATAAAGCAGTAGATTCAGAAACAATACCACAAGAAGAATCTAGAAATTGGATAAACAGCAGGGTTCTAAACAGACTCAAAAGGGTGAATGTCTAAACAAGCCCTGGTTCTGAATACAATTTATTCTGCATCAGGTAAGGAAACTTTTTTATATCAACAGCCAAAAAACCAAAACAAAACAAAAAAAAGAAAATATGCAGGATCTATATGTTGAGCTAAATATTGGCACTAATTCATGGGGATCTGGCTCCATAATTTAAGCAAGAGCAGTCATGCTTTTCAGAAAAGACTTTCCAAATCCTACCCCATAGAACTGTCTCCATCTGCAGCTGCATGACTAAAATAGCTCAGGGCCTGTCTGCTCTTTGTCCCCACTCCATTCAAGTTAAAGGAGGGCCTTCCTCAGCAAATTTGTCAAGTCAGCAAGACCGCAGAGCATTGCATCCGCCATCTATATCCTGGACCTTCTCCTATAGCCACCGTTCAATTAAACCAGTGTCCCCTACCAATCACTCTCCTCTTCCCTTCTTCCCTTCTCACCTATCTCCAAAATGAGGGCGAAATCTAACCGCCAGTCTTTTGTACCTGATTGACTTATCAACTGAGTAGTTGGGGCTCTTCCAAATAAATGTTACTTCCTTCAGGTGACTGAAGGGTACCCTCACTATGGGCAATGCAGTATTTTTTCTCTGACCCACCGTAGAGCAACATCATATGCCAATCATTTAGAAATTACCTAGGGCTCTGTAGAATCCTTAAAGTCACCCCTGATCTACTTCTCTGGCCTTGCATGTTAAGCTAATTTGCACCATCAGGGGGTCTGGTGGCAGTTTTGGCTTCCCTGAGATTAAAATTCAAATACCTATGAGGAAAATGAATGCTAAGGAAGAAAACAAAAAATCAATATTGGGAGTCTAACATTCCAGTGAGATGTAAGCCATGAAAAAGTCTTCTGAGGTATTTAAACAACTATCTTTAACCAATAGTCACAGTGGTACAGTGAGGACCAACCACTGTGAATAAGTGCCAGCTACATTTACCCCACATTTGGAGTTAGGTGGGCAGGGAAGAGGGATTTGGGAGGAGGGTGATTGATAGATGATTTCCACTGATTCAGTTGAATGGTGGCTACAGGAGAAGGCTCGGGATACAGATGGCGGACAAAATGTGCTGCGGTCTGACAAATTTGCTGAGGAAGGTCCTCCTTTAACTTGAATGGAGTAAGGACAAAGAGCAGACCAAGCGGAGCCCTCTGTGCCCACAATGACCTATAAAAGACTCCAATGGTAAAGGACAGCTTGACTGGGAAAGAGAAAAGTTAGTAGGCCACGGATCACCAAGAGAAGACAAGGCCTGGGTTCTTTTTCCTCCCACCATGCCAGGGAGAATAACAGCATGGGCCTCAAGTTTCTAATAACCCCCCACATACACATACACATAGACACACACACACACACACCACAGTAACTTTTTATTAGGCAAGTTTGCAAATAACGTGTCAATGAAGGCACAGACACAGTCCCTGGCAGCTAGAAAGTGTGGATTTAGATGTCCATGGTAA